CTTTTAAGGGTGTAATGTACTATTAATTTTTTTGGGGGGTGCAAAGTTCCAAAATGTATATTTCGAGGGTGCAATTGTTTTTATCTAATCAGTACCTTTAAATTTAAGGCTTGTTTCAATTTCAAGTATATTTTTAACAATAGCAGTCATGTTTCAAGGCCAATTTAATTTTATATAATAGAAAATTAATTATATAAATATAATATTTAAAAAGGTAAGACACACAAACAATATATGTCATATTATCATATTTTGTGAAATGTACGTAGTAAATATTATGTAATAATTAATTTAATATTTAAAACTACTTTACATATAAAATGAAAAATAAATAAATTTTTGTTATAGTAGCTAGTGTATCAATATAATATTCCGCGCGTATGTGGTTCTTCAAGTGAATAACTCCGCTATTGATTGACAAAATTTAGCTCATTCTATCAAGTAGAATGGAGTGTTTTAGTATAGCGCAGGCTGCGCTTCAACTGTATTTTCTTCATGCAACAACTTTGTTTTTAACCGATAACATAGCATTTTTTTTATTTAATAAATAAATAATAAACATAAACTTTGTCTTTTTACTTTAAATTGGCTTTGGCCATTCTTCAAATAAAAAATAAAGCCAGCCGAATGGTTTGCAATGAAACAAAGAAATTCTCAAATAATTAAGCAGCTTGTTTTGTTCTCATTCACTATATTATTCTAGGTTTAGGGGTTATATCTCTTTCACCAATAAGCCCATCCCTTTAATATTTATTATAAATAAAAGAAACATTCATGTATATCACAATATTATCCCCAACCCTTTATATACCCAATTCTTAATTATAACCCCAATTTAATCAATTTTGTCCACAAAAATCCAATTTTGACTTTTTTCTTTCAAATACTTTATTTTTTAAAAAAAAAATTTTGCCGCCGGATTTCGGCGTTGACTATTCGATATTTTTTTTCTTCCGGATTTTTCCGTTGACTTTTTTTTTTTTTTTTTTTTTCCCGCCGCCAGATTCCAGCGTTGACTTTTTTTAGTGTTTTTTTAAGGTTTTTTTATTTATTTAGTTTGATTTGTTGACAAGTCAACGTATTTATATTATCGTCGTTGACAGTAAAATAACTGCAAACATAATAATATTACATGTAACAACATCAATATTATTATTTTTTTGGATTTTTTATTTTGTTTGAGGTATTCACGGAGTAACGTAATAATATTACTGTCTATTATTGTAATATTACTGTAAACATAATAATATTATTGTGGTTGACGGTAATATTACTGTTGTTATAGTAATATTGCTGTCAACCACATCAATGTTATTATTTTGTTTGGATTTTTTTGTTTGTTTGAGTTATTCACGGAGTAACGTAATAATATTACTGTCTATTATTGTAATATTACTGTGGTTGACGGTAATATTACTGTTGTTATAGTAATATTATTGTCACCCACAGTAATATTAATTCTTTTGGCTTTGTATTATGTTTACATTTGTTGAACGGTCAACATAGTAATATTACTCTATTACACAATAATAATGAGTTTTGTTGTGTTAATATTACTGTGCTAGAGATTAATATAGCAATTACTGTGTTAAACTGTAGTTTAGTTAATTTTACTGTGTTTAACAGTAATATAGTTAATATTACTGTCAATCACAACAGTATTGTTGTTTAAACGGAAAAAAAAAGTTACAGAAAAAAAAAATCGAAAAAGTCAACACCGGAAATCGGTGGTTGAAAAATCAGGAGAAAAAGAAAAGCCGGTCAACGCCGGAAACCGGCGAAAAAATCCGGAAGAGAAAAAAAAAAGTGTGTTTTGGGTCAAATTGAATAATTTGTAAAATTTGGGGTCAAATTAAGGTTAAATTAAATTAAGGATGAAATTGGAGCATATTAAAGTATGAGGGGCTATTTTAGTCTTTTACAAAAATGTGGGACCATATGTGGACTTATTTGTAAATAATGAGTTTATTGTCTGAATCTCTTTATGAATACCCATTGATGGACTTATTTGTAAAGACCCCTTGTCAAAATACTAAGGTGACTAGAAAAAAAAAAAAAAAAAAACCACATTGGAAATCAAGATAGATAATGGATAAACATAAATATTACGAGATACACTTAGATCATTATATTACTGAACATGAAAAACATATAAAATTATTACTTTATGCCAATTTTTGTTTTCTTATTGAATGTTCGAAAATATGGAACTATATAAGATCGTTGAGTTATAACAGTATGGTATATAAAAAGTGAGCAGATCTCAATGAATACAATAGGATTTATGGTTACACAAACAGTTGAGAACAATTCCTCATCGGGCCCAAGCCGTACTGTGGTAGGAAATTTATTAAAATCATTTGGAATATGGTAAAGTAGCTCTACTCATTTGTTCGCTTGATAGAGATGGTTTTACTTCGTCGAATTTTTATTCGAGTATCTGGAACACGAACTATATGAACTAGCTCACGAAATATTTGAACTATGATTCATACTTCATATCCAACCTCATGTCCAAACTAAAAATAAAATTAAATTTCAAAAACCGTTTCAAACAAAATTAAGTAAAATCTTTCTTATTTTTTTTATTTTAATCGTTTTATCTAATTTATGGACTACATGGATCCAACGGTTCTTCCTCAGGAAATCTTTGGGTTAGCTTATGAATTTTTATTGAATAATATGAGACAGGTTTTAACCGAAGTTTTATCTTATTTTCGTAATATCTAATTTAGAAGTTAATAAATATTTGCATCTTAAAAATCATCTTTTAGAAATACACATAGTTCATTTATGTTTGTAAATGTATCATATCTCCTGTGTAAATTACCCATATATGTTATAAATTAAATTACAAAAACTATATACAATTTAGGGAAATAGAAATTAAACCAACAGAGAGTCGTGATTGATGACTCATTTTATGTACTCAGAAGCCGAACTTAGAAGGAGCAGAGGAGTTGTGGGCCCCCCAAACCTACCTTAGTAAATATTTCGCCTACAAATTTTGGCTCACGATTTTTTTTATATTATTTTTCTCTTTAATACTATGTAAATTTATATATTTTTTAATGTTTATAGTACAACATAAAATATTATGACTAAAACTTATACTCTTTTAACTATTATCTATAAGTATTGAGTCATTTTTGTATATTTTTTATGAATATAATTCCTCTAAAAACAATCCGGGGGCAATGCCCCTGAGCCCCAATTTTTTAACATATCCACTGTTGTATTATCTCGAAACTCACCTCTGTAAAGTATCCTGGGTCCGTGATTTGGGTTTCGAATAACATACCCATATGCTCCTTCATGAATGTAAACTCACAGATAGACTAATAACGAATTAGCAGGGCCGGTCCTGGGATGGGGCGAGCAGGGTCCACGCTCAGGCCCCAATTTCCTAGATGGCCCAAATTTTCATTTTTTATATATACATTATATATTTTTATATGCAAAATATATTTTTTTATTGACTATTCTATTTTTTTTCAAAACAACAAAAAGTTTATTCTTCTATTATTATTTAATTAAAAATGTTTCAAAATAGATGTACTTTTTTTTAATCAACTAAAAATTAATTACATATTTCTCTAACATTTGCTTCACATATTTTTTATGTAGATATACATTAATATTTTCAATCTTCTATTTATGAGGTTTCGATTAATAAATGATTTATTTATACTGCACAAAAAAAAGAGCAAAAATCGGGCACTGCCCCTGAATACCTATATTATTAATTGTACAATTTATATTCTCGCCTCGAGCCCCCTGCGAATTAGATTAAATACTGGGGTATTTGGCATTTTGCACCCTTAAATTACATGGCATTGGCACTTTGCACCCTAAAATTAGAAAAATGGCAGAATGCACCCTTCAATTACATTTTGCTTGGCACTTTGCACCTTAATTCTTTTTTTGGCTAGAAAAGTGACATGCTACCTGTTTTGTGAGATTTAAATAGGGGCATCATATTTTTTTTTCTTTTATTGCTCACAAAATTCCATTTCTTTTATGATTTCTTAGACAAGTACGAGATTAGTATAAATTACATCAATCCAACAACTAATTCAACCATGTCTTTGCGCAAAGGAGATAAACCAAACATTAGAATATTCATTTGCAGATTTTTTTCTTATCTTTTTAGTTAAATATCTACTCCATTATATTAAATATAAATTTTTTTTAGGCATTTGATGTTTTAAGCAATTGATGTAACAAAAACAATAAAAGTAAACCCTTTTTTTACATGAATAAGCATAATATATACATAATTCTCTTTTTAAGTCCATATGAACAAGAAAAATTAAGTTTTATTATCGGTTTAAAATACTTTTAAGTGGTGAAAATTTATGAAATTGCAGAGTGCATGACCTTTAATTGCATATACCATATTAACAAGCATTAATTTTGAATGCTTGCTTTTAATTGAATACGTATTTATTTTAAAAAAATAAAATAAAAATTTATTCAAAATTGGAGTAAAGTATCATCAGACTCTTGATGGAGAACAATGAACATTGTAGTTGTTCTTGGTTGGGTTTGGATATGTGACATGGAGAAGATAAAATAAATTTAACTTTGTGAGAAATAAAGAAAGACAAATCCACCCCTCTTCAGCAGGTAGCAGGTCATTTTCTAGCCAAAAAAATGAATTGGGGTGCAAAGTGCCAAACAAAATATAATTGAAGGGTGCATTGTGCCATTTTTTCAATTTAAGGGTGCAAAGTGTCAACGACATGTAATTGAAGGGTGCAAAGTGCGAATTACCCTAAATACCGTCCAAAATCTTAAATTAAACCTTATATTAAACGACCGTATCCATGCAAAAAACCCAAATAAATAAGGCCAAGTACTGACAATTAAAAATACCGATACTGAAATGATTTATAATGAGGTCCCATCTTTTTTATTTATTTAGCTAGTAAGTAAAAGAGGACAAGCAGTACAAATGAACAACATATGTAGTTCACTAGCTAATTAAGAAGTAGGGATCAAGCCATGGACCAAGTGACAGGCACAACACCGATGTCCTCGTCGAGCCCCAAGGCTTTCCAGACAGCGTCGGAACCATCGACGATATTGTTAAGACACGGTGGCTGACCATCATGTTCTTTGTCACACCCATTCCTCGAGTCACACTCGTCCACTACTTTTGCCGTCGTACTCCTCCCGTTTCTTGCAACTATGCGTATCATTTTACCGCATCTCGATCCGCCATTGTACCTAACAAAATTCGGACACAAATATAGAATTAAATCGAGTTACTCAACACTAGCGAAATCAATATAATTAACATAATATATTTCTTTGCCATTAATTAATTACACACACTCCTTTTTAAAGAAATTATAGATTGTTCCATGTTATCTTGTTACTTTACAAATTGTAGTGATGTTTAAAATGCTATTATATCATTGATATTCTTAACTAGTCGATTCACTACTCTCACACATTAGCTTTTGCTTCTCAGCTCATTTAGGTGGTGTTTGCAAAAGCTTATTTAAAAGTAGAAGTTGTCGATTGTGAGTTAAGTTGGTTTTAAGTGCTTATCTCTAAAAGTTTGGGGTGTTTGCAAATTTGCTGGAAAAATAACTTAAACAAAAAAAGCTGGGTAATATGTGCTTAATAAATTATAGCTTAAAGTTGCTTATTTTAAGAGAAACAAAAACAAAAGTTCATTTTGCAAACACCTAAAAATAGATTACGAGCCAAAAAAGCTCATAATCTCTTTGATAAAGCTTTTGCAAACACCACCATAATAATGAAGGGTAATTTAGTCTTTGTAATATATTTTGTTCTTAGCCTTATTTAACGACTATCTAAATGTTAATTTGAAACGGAGAGAGTACCATCCAGTCGATAATGCGACAACTCTTTCGGATTTACTATGGTAATTATTGTCGCACTCGGATGGTCCTCCGCCATCCCCACCGTCACTGAAATCATTCAAGGTGAGTTTGGCTGGTGTTGAGGAGGAGACGACCGGAGAACACGAGTACTGAGGATAAGATTTTCCGCGACAGTGTAGGGTGCCTGACGGGCGGCATTGACCTCCTTCTCCTCCTCCTCCGCCACCGCCACCGCCACTGCCACCGCCACCGCCACCGCTACCGCTGCCGCCGCTGCAGACACGAGATCCAACACGAGGGTCATCGTTGCATTTACCGTTGCTGCATATTAATTGACCGGCGCAGTCATTTAGGGTTTGGCATGGACCATTGCATGAAGATTGTGCGTTTCCAATGGCAAATTGGATAATAATGGAAATAAGGGTGAAAAGACAAAAGGAAATTGGTATAGTGTTTGCCATAATTTACTAGGGCTCAATTTTGTTAAGGGCTTAAGGAAAAAAAAAAGGAATTTGCTTCTATATATATTGAAAAGTTAATGCAAAAAAACAAAATGTTATCATAAATTTATTTACTCAATGATAGAATTATTGATCATATAGTAATGTTATTAATTAGTAACAACACTCTTTAGTTAGTTTAACAGTAGTGACAAATAGTAAAAGATGATAATTATTGAGTTGTTAAGTACTCTCAATTGATCACATGACGTTAGTTTAACAGTGACAACAAATAGTTGAGTAAAAATATAATATATTGAAGAAATAAACCATTATTTTAATTGGCAACACAATCGGCAACCACTCGATGTGCATTGATCGAATAAACTTCAAGTAGTCCTTGTGCAGTAGCTCGTAAATCGCATGGGAGATGTAAACAACATTAGGCTAAACATGTCTGAGTAACTTGATCAAAAAAATTAGGTCATTACAAATAAGTCCATCAATGGGTTTTTATTCATAAAAAGATCCAGATAAAAAACTCTTTTACCAATAAGTCCACACATGGTCCAGATTTTTCTAAAAGACTAAAATAGCCCTCATACTTTAATATGCTCCAATTTCATCCTATACTTAATTTAAACTCAATTTGACCCCAAATTTCACAAATTATTCAATTTTGACCCAAAACCTTTTTTTGCTGCCGGATTCCGGCGTTGACTTTTCAATTTTTTTTTTTGTCTTCCGGATTTTTTCGACGATTTCCGGCGTTGACTTTTTCGATTTTTTTTTCTTTCTTTCTGTAACATTTTTTTTCTCGTTTAAACAACAATATTGCTGTGAATGACAGCAATATTAAGTATATTACTGTAAAAACAGTAAAATTAACTAAACTACAGTTTAACACAGTAATATTGCTATATTAATCTCTAGCACAGTAATATTAACACAACAAAACTCATTATTATTGTGTAATAGAGTAATATTACTATGTTGACCGTTCAACAAATATAAACATAATAAAAAACCAAAATAATTAATATTACTGTGAGTGACAGTAATATTACCGTCAACCACAGTAATATTACAATAATAGACAGTAATATTATTACGTTACTCCGTGAATAACTCAAAAAAAAAAAATCCAAACAAAATAATAATATTGATGTAACCTGACAGCAATATTACTATAACAACAGTAATATTACCGTCAACCACAGTAATATTATTGTGTTTACAGTAATATTACAATAATAGACAATAATATTATTACGTTACTCCGTGAATAATTCAAACAAAACAAAAAACCCAAAAAAATAATAATATTGATGTTGTTGACAATAATATTGTTGTGTTTACAGTTATTTTACTGTCAACGAGAGTAATATATAATTACGTTGACTTGTCAACAAATCAAACAAAATAAAAAAAAAATAACAAAAAATAAAAAATAATAATATTACGTTAATTTACTTTATTTATAAAATATAAAATATAAAATATGTACTAATATTGATATTATAAATAAAAAAATCAAATAATTATTTTCATATAATAAAAATCAGATCAAAAATAAGAATCTTATGTATATATTTTCGAAGCCAACACAGTTCAAGAAAATTAATTTTTTTTTTTGGAATTCTGAATGAAGATACTGTACATATTGAAATCGCTGGAATTTTGAAATTTTTACTCCAATTTTTCCACCCCTTTTATATTAATATAACTATCTTGATGACAAATAAAACTAATAAAATTTGACTATATGATTGCAATTGTCATATACTTGTGGATTATGGTGGTCCAAATGATAATAAAAAAGACAGAAATTCGAGCGAATGAACCATGAAGGCAATGCCAAGTAATATTGATTATTACTTCTTAGGGTGGAGAGTAGACTTCTTCGATCCTACACTCGGTGATAAACACTGGGTGAGTCTTCTGCTGCCACATGTCATTTTTTGTATTTTATGATATATTCCGCCGTTTGGGTTTACCTTTAGGGGTTTTAGAAAAAAGAAATAAAAAAAAAGACACGTGGCAAGCAGAAGACCCACCCGGTATTTATCGCTGCGTGTAGGGTCGAAGGAGCCGTGGAGAGTATAACAGGATCCAGACTTGAATTCTCTTGGGGTTCGTTATTTCGTTATACCAAAAATATTGTTCAAGAACTCTCTTGAAAAGTAGTCAAAGCTAATGTATTCATTTAGGGCTCGTTCGGTTACTTATATTGGATTAGATTGGAATAGATGAGATTGAATTAACTCCCTACTGACTAATTAATTATTTAGTCAGTAGCATGTTCGGTTTCTTAGATTCGATTTTCTATTAAATTAATTAAAATCAGTTATTATATATGAATTGTCTATAAAACCACTTAGTTTACAATAACAAAATATGATTTTAAGGATAAAATTGTATTTTTCCTTTTTAGTCACCCCCTATTAAATTAATCTCAGGGGGGAGGGGTGCTACTAATTTAATGAAATAGTAGCATTTAATAGCGGACTTTGATTTTAGTAGCGGCTTCGAAAAAATGTGAATCTTCCCAACCGAACATGTTAGTAACTCCTACTATTTGAATTATTTTCTTAAAATAAATCGACTACATTTATACGTTTAAATATGAAAATTAATAGTATAAGTGAGAGTTGAAACAAATTTTCAAAACAACGGCAACTGACAATAGCACAAAACACAAAACAACATTATACAATTTAACACATGACACAACATAGTCCAAAATAGTTAACAATAACATAAAATAAAGTATAAAATTAGCTAAAAAATCAAACCAATGCTTCTCAAACAAACCTTAATAAACCCACATACTTCTCTAACAAACATTAGCTGACAATAACGCAAGACAATATTATCCAACTTAAAAAATGTAATCATAATATTAAATTAAACCACCATAATTAACAACAACACAAAACAAAATCAGCTACAAACAACACAAACCAACATTAGTTGATTAAAGTCAATTCAATAGGAGAGTATATGTTTACTCAGTGTACATTTATAATTGTTTGTGAGTTCCTTCATTACTAAAAAAATG